ATTCATTCTAACCCGGATATTGTCATTTCAAAGGCCGACAAAGGTGGCCAGATAGTCGTCATGGATAAGAACACTTACATCGATGGTGTCACTAAACTCTTAAACGAAGGACCATATAATCCTATCCCTAAAGATCCTTCACCGACTTATCCAAAATAAAAACTGCGATCAAATCTTCGCAAATCATTTCAAGCAACTTAAAACATTCACTTATCCCATCTGTTGCGAATTGTGCCAGATTATATGCTCTTCCCAAAATTCATAAAAGTGGTATTCCTTTCCGCCCTATTGTATCAAATTTAGGAACTGCCTCGTATCCATTAGCTAAACATTTAGTTTCTAGATTTTCCACTCTATTAGACAATAACATTTACACCATAAAAAATTCAATAGAGTTTGTAAAAAAGGTTAAAAACATTTCTCCTCGTAATTTACTCATGGTTTCTTTTGATGTAAAATCATTATTCACCAATGTCCCAGTGGAGGGTGCATTAAGATGTCTAGAAACCAGACTTCGCGAATTTCATTCTCTTGCATGCATCGAAATTGATGAGCTAATTTCTCTCACTCAACTCTGTTTGAAACAAACACATTTTGTTTTCCAAAATAAATATTACAAGCAAACTGAGGGATTAGCCATGGGAAGCCCCCTCAGTCCCATCCTGGCTGATATCTACATGCATTATTATGAATCAAAATTGTTTGAAACTTTAAAACTTCCCGGCATGGTTCCGCTACGTAGACGATACTTTTACCCTGTTTGAAGGTAATAAAGATGATTTGAATAAAGTTCTTTCAACAATGAATTCTATTGATCCTGCTATTCAGTTCACTTTTGAACTTGAGACTTGCAATTCTCTTCCGTTTCTCGACATTCTGGTCACACGTAACACATCCAACTTCAGTACTACAGTTTACCGTAAACCTTCATCGGTTTGCCTTCCACCACACTTTAAATCATGTCATCCGACTAAACAAAAGTTAGCTTCATTTTATTCCTATGTTTTCCGTGCTCTTCAAGTTTGCTCCTCCAAACTAGCCCTTGATGAAGAACTAAATTATTTAAAAGCAATAGCTATTGACAGGGGCTTTTCACACAACATTATTAATCAAGCAGTTAAAAAATTCTCATCTCAACACACTAAAAGCCACACTCTTATTTTAGGAGATTATAAAAAATTCTGTTGTCATTCCCTTCTTTTCCATCAATTAGCTATAAAGTTGCACACATATTTTGCAGAAATTTAACTTTCGGGTTGTTTACTCTCCCATCAATAAAATTCCAACTTCTATACTCAAGGACCCCATTCCGGATATGAATTCCTGGGGTATTTATAGGATTCCTTGCCAGTGTGGTTTAATTTACATTGGCCAAACTAAGAGAGCCTTAAAATTTCGCGTCAAAGAACATGAGGCATATGTTAGAAAAAAGGAAACACAGAAGTCTTCTGTTGCTCACATTGTTGGTCCGAAAATCACACTTTCAATTTTTCTGCTGCCAAAATTATTCAAAAAACATCTTCCATTGGAGAACTGGATTTTCTAGAGGCATTTCACATTCATAAAAATCTTTCTGTTCTAGTTAACGATCCTAATTCCAATCCAAATTTGCCTTCGGCTTTTAGAGAAATTATGTTTTAGTTCTGGTTTCGCCAACAGATGGCGCCACTTGCTTATTCTTGTCCAGGCTTTTTATCTTATCTAAACATTATTTCCTATCTTGTTCATTTGCGGTTTTGCAGCTGAAGATGATGGTTCGGTAAAACCATCGAAACTAGTCCTGTGAAAATTTTTTAAATATAACGCTGATTTTTGTTGTTTGACTTCTGAATTAGTACTTATGTCATATAAAATTTTTTAAATACAGCATATCTTTAGAATTTCTGATACAGTGTTAATATAGCTGCCACACAGTTTTTTTTTTTTTTTTTTTGTTCAGAAGGGCCATTACTTTTCGTCTCACTTTTACATTGAATCACTTTTGTTCCCCATTTCACTTTTCAAATAAATTGCTGCTGTCAAGGCCGAGCCATCTAAAATAGTTACTATAAAAAAGAAAAGAATACACAATGTTTCCAATAAATCCTGCTGGTATAATTTCATGGGTCATGCTGGTAATTATTAAAAGAAATTAGAGAACTCTGTTTATTGCTTTTAAATTGCTTAGTTTGTTTATCAAAAACAAGCACATTAAAAGAAAAATTAAATATGTTATTCTTTTCCAAATGGTAACAAACTAAGGTGTGGAAGTTAAAAATATTTTACATGGGATATATTTACAATTCCTTATAAAGCTTTAAATGTTGGCCCTTTTTTTAAATTTGCTTTATTATTTCTTTTAAAAATAATACATGACGATAAAATTTGGTGGCAGCATTCTTTTATTTGTGTTGTATATTTTTAAACTTTCGTTATACTATTTCTTTAGCCAAAAACTAATACATAGTCATAACATTTAGTGGCAACATTTGAAAAGAGATAAAGACAACAAAAAAGTTTGAGAGTAACACTTTCCGTGCTTAAAAAAATAATAAATAAAAAAAACCCTCTTAAAGATATTTATTATTTTCCATTTGAAACATGATAACTAGACTTCGTTTCTGATCAACGATGAATACAATTTTTCATTTAATTTCTGTATTATTAAAGTGCATCACTCAATATAGCATTAAGTTGATCATTTAGAAAGTCATTTTGCTTGGACTTCTTAAATTTTTTTATGTCTCATAAAGGTTTTATACATCTCATAATAAATAACTGCAAAATTTCTGACTCTTTTACCAGCATGCATTATCATTTGCATTTAGAATAAAATCTAATTGTTATGATGAAATTTGTGATAATGCAGAGACTGCAAGACTCTTTTTCTCTATATGTAAATTTCTTTCCCTTAATTTTGTTCAAATGTTAATCCTCTTTCTTAATATTTTGATATTTTCAATCACAGTCGAAAAAAATTCAGAAATTAATGCTGGAGCTTTTAATAATTGAATCTTTTTTTTAACTGAATGAGCTGGCAAAAATTTATATTATGTCTATTTAAAGGGGGAATGAACAATTTATAAAATTTTTCAAAGTATTTTATTTTACATTCTTAAAATTAAAAATACTTGTAGTAATAAACTTATAATATAATCTCAAGTTTTTAGGTAGCCAGACACCCCCTCCCCTTACATTTTGTTTTTAACTTTCACTTATTACTGAATGTTGCAGAAATGAGCTAGCTAAGCATATACAATAGATATTTTAGTGTCTTTAAAGCAATAAAACATTAATGTTCAGACTTAAAATTCAGAGCTAAAAGGAAAAAAATTCCTTTCAAAAATTTGGTACAGTAAACGCGCAATAATCCCTATTTTTCTAGAAAGTGTAAAAAAAATTCAAAAAAAGATTATATAATAAGCAAGTATAGAGTGCAATATAAGGTTATACTCAAATTAACCAATTATCTTATTATTTTGGCTGTTTAAAGTTTCCAATTTTTCTCAACTTCCACCAAAATGCAAGTTAGTTTAAAGTATAATGACGTAACAAGTTTCAGAATACATCAAATATAATTCATAATATCAGCTAAGTATAACTCATAGTAAAATTTCATCGATGCTCAGAGGATCAATAGGTTTTATTGATCCTCTGAGTATCGATGAAATTTTAAGGGGGTCAATGATGATCAAGTGGTTGATACCAAATTATGCACTTGGCAACTGTTTAACATACTGAAGATCCCATAGATTACAAAAAACGATTAATAAAACTGATAATTAATTATTTAATGTAAAGCTCTATCATGTAGTAAGGGAAAAAATCACATAAAATAAATATTTTGAAAAAAAAAACTACATTTTAAAATATATAAAATTTTATGAAATAAGTGCAATATAAAAATACACTTTCCCTCTGCCCCCCCCAAAAAAGAAGAATATGACTGTTCATAGAATGAACTTAACGCAATTGTTTGTTACTGGAAAACATCTTATTTCTGCAGAAGATACTATATTGGTATATATAGCTGGCAGAATTTAAAAGAATCTAAAGCAATGAAATTAAAGTACCAAAAATACTACCTAAAGTACTATACTAAAAGTTCTAAAGCATTGAAAAATTGTATGTGCCAGCACAGCTAACAGAATTGCTGAACTACCATATATATGATCTTGATATTATGACATGAAAGTTGAGTGCATTGAAATAAGAGGTTAAGCACAAGTCTACTTCAAAACACATGCATATGCTGAATTTTGAAATTTAAAAGTCATGTGAGAGAAATATCCCAGAATAAAAGCTGTTACTAAACCAACATCATTGACTTTCCCCATTCTTAGCTAGTGGAAGCAGGCTTTAGTCAAGTCAAAAAGTAAAGTATTGAAAACAAGAAACAAACTGAATATTTTTCAATCAAGTGGTTTAAGAATTAAGTAGTTTTATGCCAAGTACTTAACAAATTGCATAAATACATCAATGCAGCCATCACATTAATTAAAATCAAACTTTTATGCAATTAAAATCTGTAACTTTTGATTCTGAAAACTTATATTTATAAACATAAAAATAATAAAACATAAATCTATTAAATCATTTTTTCAAAACTGTTGGTGCTCTTTCTTGGTCCAGTTGTTATACTTAAGTGACTTTTGTGCAATTATTTGCAGTAGGATTATGTTATGTGCTGTATTTAACGAAAAAAATTAAGGACGCTGATGAAAAGAAAAAGGTTCGGAATCCTTGACTTCCCCCTGACTTGCTTTCCTCCTGACTAATTTTATCAATTACTATAGCAACCCAAGGTTTTGCTTGGCAAGCTATGATAAAAAGCAGAAATGTAAAGGTAAAGAAGCAGTCAATTTAATTCCCAGTGCTTTTCGAAAAACTTTGGATAGATTAATTTGCATTATGGTAGAAATTAGCAAAGTGTAGTACAAAACACTCAAAATAATAAGATAACTAGTTAATTAAAATAAAATTTTACAACTAATGTTTAGAATTTTGCCTTTATCACTCACCGCTCAATTTCAGTCTGTTTTTCAGAAAACAACTTTCCTGGCACCTTTCTTGCCACGTGGCGGTAAACAGGATTAACATCTGGCTTGAAAAATTTTCCTGCCACCCCACTGTAGGAAAATATCTTTTGCTTCAACAAAGGATCTTCCATAAGAAATATTTTTTCACCTGTTTCTTTTTTATTTTCTCCATTTATGAACTTGAAATTCTTTTCTTTGGAAAGCGACTTTTGTAAAATGTGCACAAATTTCAAATATAAATCCCCTAAATGAAAAGAATGAAAATATAAATTAAATTTAAAAAACGATTTTACAATATTTTATTAAAAAATAAAACAGACAACAGAAATGTCTGTGTTTTTAAATCCTAAATTAATTCATTTTCAAACACAGAAATTTCAATGTTCTTAAACAAGGCATTATAAATGAAATAATGATATAATGCATTGTCCAGAATTATACTGATTATACTACACACAAAACAGTATAACTGAATTCATAAAAACAAGAGATATAAACAAAGCAATTTATTCGTTAAAATTTACACTTTCAATCTTGGTAAGGGCCAAGCTTTTTTTCTCATGTTAATGGCTCCGAAAATTCTAATAATCTCTATAGTGACACCCAAAACAAAAGGTGACAGACAACAAATCATCAACACATGGATTTGATCAACTAAGTCTTATGCCTCTATCCAATTTCCCTTTAAGAGAGAGGTAATACAGTACAAAGTCCGAAATCCGGATGTCCAAATTATCCTGAATGAACTAAAATCCGGACATCAAAGCCACCAAAATCGTTTGTCTCGTAGGTTTTACACATGAGCATTTAATTTCCCCCTCCGCACGTAATAAAACATATGGAGAGTCGCCATTCTTAATTTCACTTCAACACTAAATAAATTCGACTAAATAAATTCGACACTAAATAAATTAAGTAGTTTTATAGAAGAAATTATAGAAGAAACAATCATTTTAGCATAAATTTGTATGATCAGTAATTTGGCTCTGTTGCAGCATATCTGCTTTGGCACACATCTCAAACCAAAACATTCCACATAGATACATCCTTGATCTGACCCCAATCTGGCGAATCATTATTTATTATATTTTCCTTTCATCACCACATGTTTATCAAAACATAACTTGAGTAATGACTCATGTAGTGATGCCTAAACAATTTTTTATTTCAGTAATTGAATAATAAAGGAGTATGGTAACCATTTATGTTGACATTAAGCTTGCCAACATGTTTTTTTTAATATACATTGGTCAAATTAAGACAGCCTAACTTCACACTAAGGAACATGAAGCATATGTAAGCAAAAAAGAAACCACAAATCTTGCTCAACACTATTAGTTTTATTAAAAAAAAAAAAATGCTTTCCAATTTTCGGCAGCTAAAATTATTCAAAAAAAATCTACCAGTGGCAGACCAGATTTCCTAGAGGTGTTTCACATTCATAAAAAACTTTCACTTTTAGTTAATGATCCAAATTATAACCTGAATTTACCCTCAACTCTTATGGTATTAATTTAATAGCTGTTTTCATTTTTTGATGTTCTCAAATTTTCTAGTCTATTGTTTTCACTGGTATTGTGTGAGGTATAAGACCCAGTTGCCTAATCATTTTCCCTTACTTTCAAAGGTTAGAAATTCTAGAATACCTGTTGGATGGTGAGCACCATTTATGGTGAATTTATACTAGTTAGATACAGTTAATAATACATGCACATAAAAAAAATAGGTTAGTCGCATTTCGGTTGCTTTGTGCTGGTATCTGTGTTGGACACAATTTCTATTTCATTAAAAATGAGAAACCTTTCACATAGAATTTTATTGAAAGCTAAAACATTTTTATTATGATCGCACAGCCGCAGGCACACGTCAAATGATTGGTGGATGCCATTGTACCCGCGAGTATAGGGTTGGGAACCGCTGATTTAGAGACTAAAAAATTATTTACACCATGATAACATCTATTATAGCTCTAAATAATCTACTTCCAATTTCAAGTTTAATACTATTATCTTTAGAGATGATAGTACCGAGATACGTAAAATGAGAAACACCCTCAAAAGTATAAGATTTCATTTGCAGTGGGAGGGGATTATGTACTTTACTAGTTGCTGCCATAAATGTTTTACACTTATTAATGGCAAATACAATGTCTCTGGCTGCAGGCACTAAAGAAATAAAAGTCTTGACAACCGCCTGTTTATTTTTGCCAATAATGTCGATGTCGTCAGTGTAAGTAACTGTATAGATCTCTGAAATATGGTGCTTCTAGTTATAATTCTAGCATCTCTAATAGCCTTTTCAAGGGTGATATTAAAAAACATGCATGCAAGGGCATCTCCCTGTCTCAACCCCTTTCAGTGCAGAATGTCTCTGATAGATAAGACATGATTTTAACTCTGCAATTTACTCTCTTTAAAGTCATTCTAGATAGATCAATCAATTTTCTATGAAATCCAAATTCCAGCATAGCTTCAAACAGCTTTTCACAGTATATGTCATCATAAGCAGCTTTAAAATCTATAAAAAGATGATAAGTATCATTATTATGTTTAGTAGTTTTTCAAAATTTGTCTACAAGAATGAATTTGATGAATAGTACATTTTCCAGCTTGAAAACCACATTGGTAGCTACCAATAACTGTAGATGCGTACAGTAATAACCTATTATGTAAAACATAGTAGAAGATTTTAAATGCCCTATTTAAGAGGGTGATACCTCAATAGTTGCAATATTCGAGTCCGTCTTTTTTTTAAATGCAACAAATGGAGCTCCATTCCCGTTCAAAGAGCATCTGTTCTGCAATCCAAACGTTAAGTATAACCTTATGAATAGCATTAATCAGTTCAGGTAGGTCAATATTAATAAGTTCTGCCTTAATGCCATCTGGGCCTGCAGCTCTGTTGTTATTTAGATTCTCAATAGCCTTCCTCTCTTCACACAAGGATGGTGCATCAGGTTCCAGAGTTCGATCATTTTCAACAACATTCAGGTCAATACTCAGATCAGCCTTGGATTCCTCCCTTGGAAGGTCACTTCCACAGAGAAGATCTCTAAAGAATGCTGTCCATCTTTTTAGCAGTTCAACTCGATCACTTGTAAGCTAGCCATTACCTTTTCTACAAGTAATAGTCTCGGCACAGGCAAAGCAAGATAGAGCACTGATTTTCTGGTAAAATTTCTGTTAAAAACGCTGGGGACTGATTTTAGTCGCCTCTTATGACATGAACAAACTACATTGTGACCATTCTTTTTCACCCAGTGACAACTGTGCCTCATTCTTGTACTTTAAGCCTCTAATCCTAATCCACTCTAATCATGCCTTGTGAATTTTTAATGTTCAGTCATGTTAAACAAGAACAGCTAAGAGATATTTCTAGCCATCAGAGACTATTGCCATGACAACAGAGGCCAAACAGTCAATTTTCAACTGTGAAATCACAGATGCCTTTCAGTGTGTATTAACAATTGATGCTCTTCAATGTGGCTCCACAGACATTACTTCAAAAACATATATGCATAACAGGAATGCAATACTGAAAACGTGCCCAAAAACATTCAGCCTTTGAAATTACTGATATTTAACACATTGGCTGCCGCGTGCATTTTACGTGGTTTGCCCATGGTGCCAATATAACTTTTTTAATTATGCGATTATATTATGTTGACACATTATCTACGGAAGATGAGTTATATAAATGTGTTTAATGTATTTTTTGTGGTGGGGGTCACCAGCATCCCCCGAGGTGCTGCAGATAATTTTTGCAATTTATTATTCTCCAAAACATTACAGTAACAATGGTGTTATTTAAAAACTTATCAGTACTGATATTTACTCGAATTATGCATTTTTACTATTGGTCGCATCGTCGGTCACCGATGGCCCCCAGGTGCTGTAGCCAAGTTGAGTGGCAGCCACCGGAGAAGCCCACAGCAGTCAAAATGTTAATAATGAAGAAACCGTTTTTAAATTGGTGGTTGGTTTTATAAAAAAAAAACTATTCATTTTGAAGGAGCCAAATACTAAGTCCTTTTTGAAAATACGTTCCCTGCATCTTTTTCTCTTTTAGTTGCTTGAAATTTTTCAATAAATACCAATATCAGCCCAAGACTAATTTTTACCAGGACTTAGAAGAGAAGGGCTAGCTCATAGAGCTTTTCCCCCTGAATCAGAAAGTGAGAAGTGATGACGTAGTCATGATGACACTGAGCACGGAGATACAATTCACAGCTTGGAAATTAGCGATTTTGAACCAGCGTTTAAAATGAGCTGTGTGTGAAAGATAGCTATAATTTGGAAGAGACAATGTTACTGCTTTATGCACTTTAGACTGAACCATTAAAAAATTTAATAATACTTACTCAATTTTAAAATAATAGATAAAATGTGCTACTCTTTTAACATAAAGTTCAGTAGTTTTTTTTTCCTCCAAAAACAACTTTACATTGACATAGTTTTAAACATATATGACATATATGGCAACATTTCTGCTAACCTACGTTTGATTTTTTGCCTAAATGTAAATTTTACATTATTATAATTCTCTTCCGATTCAATATAATAGATATTTTTTAAATAATTTTGTAATTTGTACTTATATCTATATTACAACTAAATAAATGTATGTATGATTGTTACATTAATTTTGACAAAATAGCTTTACTCACAGTACCTAAAACAGTTATTTAATTTTTCAAAAGTATGAGTAAAGGAGGCAGGTCTTTTTATGCCAATTACTTTGATGTTTTATACTATTATATTTTATCTAGAATGCTAATCTAGCACAAAATCTAATCAATAATTAGTTACAAAGGATACAATAACTTTAACAAGTACTTAACAAAATTAGTTTGTTAAATACTTGTTATTCTTGGTGGTACTATTTTGGTACTATTTATAATACCGAAGATATTATTGATTAACTCATAGAAGTCAGATGCTTTTTGATTTCCTGTGAGGTGGAGTATACCTTTTGCGGTACTTTTTGAAAATAATGCTTTCCCTGGAGTGACGTTTTGTCTCTCGTTTCCCTTGATCATTAAATAATTCGGTTTTAGTTTGTGACATAATTTGATTTCTTCTCAATCTCTCTATTTAAAACCTCTTTAATAATATCAAAATTTAAAACAGTTCCATCTTCTAAAACAAATCCTTTATTTAAAACGTGGTTTCGCAGTAATTTGAGGCAGAGCGCGAAATGAGACCTCTGATTAAAACAAACTGCTTATTTTGAAAAGAACCAAGAACTTGGTCCAGTTTACAGTCATAGCAGAGTTTTCAATCTATATGCATTTCATCAAAACTGAGAACGCATATGTTTTCTACAGAATTCAAATATTCGCCACTTTCCTTCTTTAGAGTAAGAACATCACTTTGAACTTTTGGACTACACTAAAATTTAGCGTATTATTTCCATTCTTTCGTCAAAAGCAAATTCTCATTTGGCTCCTTTGGTTCCATGAAATAAAATATCTCATCCTTTTGTACTTCTGTAAGTGCTACAGCACGTTACTACAGCGCAAATAGCCATATTACGTAAACGATACTTTACAATATAAAATTTAAAATAAAAACAGACTAAAATTACATATATATAAATTATTTTAAATATATACATTATTAGAAAACAGATATATATATGAATAAAATTAATTTGGGATATGTAACCTTTAGAAAATCGTCTCGCAGCTGAATGAAACTACAGTTTTAAATGCGGGAAATCAGAACAGGTGGCATCACAGTGACGTCAGATTACTGCCTGTTAAGTCCCCCCATTAGGCTCGCGTCGGCGAGGAGTTGAACAAAGAAATGAGCTAGCCCTTTCTATTTATCCCTTGATTTTTACACTTTTTACATTTCATAAATAAAAGTTTCAAGCATATAAAATACATCAAAGAAGCAAAAGAACATTATCAGTACATTTAAATCAACTGCCCAGAATTATTTTAAAGAATTATAGAATTCCAATTAAATCATAAATTTACATTATTATACTGATTTCAGTTAAATGTAGTTTAAGATATCTCTAAAGTCTTAATTTTTGAAATGGAAAGATTAAATAGTACAGTTTCTTAATACAATACATAGGACTTAAAAATATTTTATAACTTTCAGGGATAACATGAAAATAATAGCTTAGAAATGACAGATATCAGTCCATACATAAGTCAACTAAATTAAATTATCTCAAAGGAAAATGTCCCTTTCATAAAAAATTAAAACAGATATTTGCATTTCTATTAAAATAACAAATTACCTTTTTCAGAATGAAGTCTAAAAGGCTCTTTCTTCTGCATAGAATTTATTTGATTCAGTATTTCAATAGTTTTCCCAGCACAGATAACATCATCTAGGAAAGGTTTTAAAAAAAATGTTTTCTCAATCTCGGGTGGTAATGGTCTTAAAATAAATGCCTTTTCCCAGTATTCTTCATCTGTTGCAATAACATCATTTTTCCTGTTTAAAAATAAGTAGATCTAAATATATGTTCGCTCTGTCATGCTTGTGATTATAAAATATACAGATGAGTAATTCTGTGATAAGCAAAATTATTTTTATGAAAATTTATCAAAAAATTAAATGCCTACAAAACAAATGGAGTTAGTTGATAGAATATTACTTTATAATATGATTTGAAAACAAGTAAATAAGTAGATCTAATGACACATTCGCAATTTAACATTTGTGATCACAAAATACATTACTAGAGGATTTTATAATAAAAAGGTTTTTATAAAAATGCCACTTAAAAATTAATTGCTCACAAAACAAATGACTTCAATAAAATGTTAATTTTACACAACCTGATTTATTTAAATGCATATTAAATGTATGCACAGCAAAGAATCAATAAGAACATAAAATATATTTATAAATTACCTGATAAGAAAATATTCACCAGCTGAATCTTTAAAAGTTCCAAGGAACATTAACTCTTCCAGAAATGAAAAGAGCGGGGTGCATGTCCTTAAGAACACAGTCAAGATTATTTTGAGCAACTGAAATATATAAAACGTAAAATCAGAAAATGATTAATTAGTACCAAAAGCTGTACACATGATTTGGTGACATTCTGTAACTGACTTTTTGCAATAGAACTGGAAGTAAATGATGGGTCTAATATGGTAGCACGATAGTTCCATTTCAGACACCTTGTACTTAATGATAACAATACTTTTTTTACAAATTTCACAACACAGTGTTCTAAAGCAAGTCTCTTCCTTTCAAATGCCAAAAATCGTTCGGCAAAATATGATTAAACATGGCAATGCAAACTGTTTCCGCAGATAATATTTGTAGTGGTGGGAAACATTTGCTAAAACCCGATTAATATGATACTATATGGTAATGAGGATACTTATATAGTAATTACTAACAATTTTTTGAATATTTGGCACAAGATTGCTTAACCATCTCAGCGATATGGACGGGAAATTCCATATAGAAGGATGGCTTTCTTATTCATTGCACATGAAAATTTCTGCCAGCTTTTAATGTATCCGATTTGGGGTCGGATATACAATGGAAGAAAACAAATCAAGGTACAAAGTGAGAGAGTCTTTATTTAGTTATAATCACGAAAAGATGATTTATTCATGACACTCTGAGGAACATTAAAATTTAAGGGCTAAACCTGTAATGATCGGAGAGTTCACCTCGTTCAGAAATATTCAACATTTTCGTTTTCTGCAACAAATTACTGACTTAACTAAAGCCTGCTTCCACTGCATAAGAATGTCAACAATGTCGATCTAGTAACAATGTTAATTTTGGGATCTTCAGTGATGATGAGGATTTGGATGAGGTTTGGGATGATGAGGTGAAAGACTTCCTACTAAATTCTAGAATATAGTGTACTTGTATGTTCTGAATAAGATTTGACTTATTTGTATTATAAAACTTTATATCAATAAACAATTAATTGTCAGTTTTATTAATACATTGTTTTGTAATCAATGGGTTCTTGATTATGTCAATCATTTGCCAATTATTTTCCAGCACATACCGACCCTTGATTATCATAGACCCCCCATGCAAGCCCCACCGACCCCACTGGCAACCCCTGCCGGAATGCATAGCTAATTATCAGAGTTCCCATGCTTATCCATGTAGACAATTTTAGCTGCCCATGTTACCAATCAAAATACAGTGGCTTTGAACTATCAGCTACGAGGGCAATCCCAAAAAAAAATGTCTCCTATTTTTTGGGGATGTAGAGAAAGTTTTAATATGGTTGTTGGCAACACTGTTGTGAGTGGTGCCTTCTCCGCTACCACATAAGCACGCAGGCGCTTCGCTCAGATGCTCAGTCTTGGCTTGGCAGCCATTCGAAATGGAGCTCCCGATATTCATTACCGCCAAGTGCGAAGTGCGCGCAGTTATTCGATTTTTGAACGCAAAAGGCGTTAAACCGGTTGAAATTCACCGCCTATTGACGGAGGTGTATGGACAGTCGTGCATGGATGTCAAAAACGTTCGCAAGTGGTGTAGAGAGTTTACAACCAGTCGTACTGAAATTCATGACGAAGAAAGTAGCGGAAAGCCATCAATTGCCGATGAGACAATCGCGAAATTTGAGGAACTCATGCATAAAGATCGAAGGATCACTCTGGATGCTCTCTGCATTTGCTTCTTGAGGTTTCCAGAAGCACCATCCACAGGATTTTAACAGAAAAGTTGCAATATCGGAAGGTGTGTGCAAGATGGGTGCCACGTATGCTGACAGAAGACCAACCACAAACGGCAACGGGTTGATTCTTCCCGCGAATTTCTTCACCGCTATGGAGACAAAAAGGACAATTTCTTGGACTTGATTGTCACAGGTGACAAAACCTGGGCATTCCACTTTACACCTGAGACAAAACAACAGTCACATGAGTGGCGGCATCCCTCTTCGCCCAAGCCACGAAAATTCAAGCAAACACAATCTGCCGGTAAAGTCATGTCAACTGTGTTTTGGGATAGGAACGGGGTACTGTTGGTTGACTTTCTGCCTGATGGGACAACAGTCAACGCTGGCAGGTACTGTGAAACACTGAAGAAACTCAGAAGGGCAATTCAGAACTGGAGAAGAAGGATGTTGAGCAAGGGTGTAAGCATTCTCCACGACAACGCCCGTCCTCATGTCACCCGTCAAATCGTCGATCTACTGCAAAATTTTGGTTGGAATGTCATCACACACCCACCCTACAGTCCGGACTTGGTACCCAGTGATTTCCACCTGTTCCCTAAGTTGAAGGAACATTTGCCTGGACGGCAGTTCTATTCCGATGATGAGGTGAAAAATAAGGTTCAACGCTTCCTGAAGGTCATGGCGACAAGCTGGTATGACATGGGCATTGTAAAACTGCCACAGCGTCTGCAAAAATGCATCGACCGAAATGGCGATTATGTTGAAAAATAAAGCATTCCTCAATCTTTAAAGTAATGTAGCAATTATAGAAAATAAACGGTTATTTGTATATCTAAAAATATAGGAGAACTTTTTTTGGGGACTGGCCTCGTATATTGCCAATCTCCAAAATGGTTTTCGACATCATTTCCTTTTGAAGGCACCATATGTTTTACAACCACTCTCAGTTTAGAAAAATTGCCCTGTTCAAGTAATGTTACTGATAGAAAAAACTAAAAGCTTACCACTGAAGACATTTGCTCTCGAAGACTTTGATGACATAGCAGTTCCCATAATACTTGCAATATTTTGCACATTTTTTCAAATGAGTCGTCAGTGGCACAAATTGTTGTAGTTGTTTCTTGATGAATAAGATATATTAAATCAACTGCATCTAATATGGGCTTAATTTCCTTTCTTAAAACCAATAAAGTAAATATTTTCTCTGAAAAAAAATTGAAAAACTTTATTCTGTATAAAATGCATGACAATAAAGTATCAAACAGTAACAAAAATAAAAAAATTATTCTCCCATAATTTTCTGATCACCAGAAAACATCAAAATTTCATTTATTATTTATATTTAATATACAGTACAAAGTCCGAGATTAGGACATCCATCATCTGGAATGATCTGAAATCCGGACATCAAAGCCACCACCATTTTTTTCCCTATGCTTTACGCATTTGATTCCTCCCCCCTTATAATAAAACACGCAAGTCCTGATTCTTAATCTCACTTTGGCACTAAATAAAATACATCATTATTGAAGAAATAATTATTTTAGCACAAATTGGTGAGATCAATAATTTGACTCCATATCTGCTTGGCATAACATCTCAAACCAAAACATTCTACATAGAAATATTTTTGATTTTACACCAACTAATATTTTAACCTTTAACGCCAACCTGGTGAATCATTATTTATTCTATTTTTCTTTCATCACTGCATGTTCATCAACACATTTCAATTTGAGTAATGACTCATGCAGCAATGCCTAAACAATTCTTTTATATTAGTAATTGAATAATGGAAGAGTATGATAATCTTTTCTGTTGACATTACGTTTGGTGCCAATTACAAATAAGTTAAATGTGCTAAGAAATGTTGACGAGGAAAGATTTAAACAAAAATTTCTTTTCATATGCTAAAAATAGATACTCATAGGCCAAAAGATTACATTTTGTGCTATTTAAATTAAGAATAACTGATTTATTATTCAGATAAAGCCAGAGCTCGCATGGCCACACCGGACAGCAGAATTTAGGAAAGAAGAGTAGTTAACAGAAGTTTTTCATTTTCGATGACAATGCCCTAATAATCAATCAAGTAAAGGAAGCCGAAATTTGTAGTAGGGTTCTAGATCCAGAAAATACCATTACCGATAGTGAAAAAAGAGACAAGGGTTCATAGCCACATTTTAGTTCAAAAAATAAGCACCTATAAGCACTTTTCAAGCACATTTTAAGAAAAAAAATAAGCACCTATCTAATTACATTATACACAACTGCATAGCTTCAAAAATTAGACTCGTAATTTAAAATATGAGAAATGCAGTATTTATTAGAGAAATAAGCATGGGGACAAGAGAATAGCATGGCAGAGAAAGGGGGAACCTCAACCATGGAAATAATTACTTTTTTTAAATTTTAAATAACAGTTCAATTTACAGAACTACTTTACAATAAGAGGAAAAAAAACTATGCACAACTAAACTATATTTACAAGATTTAATGATGAAATTTCAGTTCAAAATAGAGGAAATAAATAATAATAAGGCATATTTATTCTATTCGCTTGGAACTTAATAATAAATTTTTTTTTATTTTCCACTCATATTGATATTTAACTAATTTAAACCTAAATTCTGAACATTTTCTAAATTTTCATCGTATATCAGTTTTCCCTTAACAGATATTGCAAGCAAAGTAATTTAAGTAAAAAAAGAGGAACATTTCTGAAATCAGAAATTTGCTTCATGCAGTCATCCTTTAACAGTAAAAGCTTAACTACCCGCATACTTGAAAACTGGAGAATATTCAGACAGTCAAGCGTAACTTGAAAAAGAGGAGCGGAGGGGGGGGGATAGATTGTAACCGTTCTTTAGATTTTTCGGCTAAATAAATGCTTTTGACATTTCGATATGTGCATCATATAAAAACAAACCAACGGAACAGAAAAATATTCTGCTTAGCAAGCACAGTAAAACTCTTTTAAGTGTTCATAAACAAATCTCGGACCGAACATCAAAATTAATTATCTCTGCAAAATATCACAAACGTTATTGTGCAATATGTATGCCGTAATTCTTCCCTACATGATATTACGCAATCGGATTCAACAGCTGCCGATATTGGGAGATTAAAGAACTAAATCAAGGAAAAGAAAGAGACAATTGGGTGTTTTTTCATTCTAATTTTCAACAGACTGCGTTAAATTTCCGGAATAGAATCATTCTTCGCTTGGGTTGGTAGACCGCAAAACTTTTAGTCTTATTTAATCCAAATTGGAAAGTGACTGACAAAAAAAAAAAAAAAAAAAAAAAAGTCCATTGCTTGTTTTGCAACGAACTGTAACAGTTTCAATATTCGTGATTTTGCGGAGAAAGGGGAGAACCTCCCAACCTTTGTACTGTATAATGTATTGGCCAAAAAAATGAAATTATTTTGACTATTCAATTACTTTCCCTTTATTTACGTATTCCGAATATTATTAATTAGAAAGCTAAATCTGTGTTAACACAACCATTTTTGGAAGTTTACTATACTTCAGCAGTTACTGCAACTATGTTATTATAAACATTCATACATATGCTCATAATATAAGCATAACGATCATAATATCATAATAAAATTGAATATGAACTGACCAAGCGGAACGAGAATGCAAATTATTAAGATCTTGATAGAAATTCAAACGTGTGTAGTATTTGGGTAGGAGGAAAATGCCAAATGTACCGAAATTTTCTAGTGCTTTCGCAATTCTTTGACCAACAGAACGACGGGCACCTGTCTGTACTCTCTGTGCACACCAGAGGTTATGTTAATGCAGAGAAAGGGGGAAAAGCTATTTCCGGGAGTATGATTCACAATCTGACATTCCATATTCGGAAGAAAAGTTGTTTATTTAGTTTCGGCTTTGGTACGGGGAAAAATTGCGCGTTCATTTAAAAAAAAACACTAAAAGCAAAAAATAAGCACTACAAACAAAAAAATAAGGGCTTTAAAGAAAAAGTAAGCACCTATAAGGGCCTTTATATTTTATTTTCAAATATAAGGACTTATAAGCACTTATTTTCAAATATAAGGACCGCTACGAACCCTGAGAGACAGAGAGGTTATTGAAAACAAAAAAAAATTTGATTGACAAGTTAGTCGGAATTCTCGACCCAGCAATTACGGGCCTTGAACAATAGAACTTGGTGACTGAACAAGAAATTATTTCTTTCTATAAAATTAAAGAGAAAGTATTAGCATAAAAAACATAGCCTTTTAAACAACTTACATTACAAGAAATGTTTAATAAAGTAAACAAATATTAAGCCTTTTTTTTTTTTTTTTTTTTGCAAATTTTGATACCCTTTAGATCATAACTGCTCTTTATTTCATAAATTACGGTTTCATATTTTTAATTCTATAATTTCTGTATGCCATCTTACCAAATTTAAATAGATGATCTAAAATCCGGAAAAAACCCTAATCCGGAACCGCCGAAGTCCCGACGAGTTCGGATTACGGACTTTGTACTGTATATGGAAATAATTTTTTTTTAATTTTTCCTTTTCAACATTTCTTAGCATATTTAACTTAAATCTGTAACCATCGCCAATTCACCAGAATAATACTGAGGATGACATCCATAATTAAATCAAAATTATAGTAAATACGATGGCAATAACTTGTGTACCATCTGAACTTTAAAAAGTTTGATAGCCTAGATCAATGCTTCTTTATATTCCCCCCCCCTTCATCATTGACATTTTTTCTCAACCCCAGATAATATTAAATATAGAATAAAGATATAAAAACAAATATTTTCAAATAAAATAATTTATTTCTTAGATAAACAATATGCATATGAAAAGAGGAATAGGGAACTACTCTTATATGTGCCCTCAGGTCACCAAAATTTCATTTTTGGTGAGAAACTCGATGCTGCCATATTACTATCTAAGTTTTTTGTCTACATTTTGAACTTTAAGCCTAAAATGTTTCCAAAAACGCAGGTTTCACACATGCAAAAACCACGTTTTGAACACACAATTTAAGCTAAAAACCCGAAACAAAAATAAAAAATTTAGATAGCAAAAACTAATAAATAATAAAGTTTCTAACCAAAAATATTTGACAAGAATCCATGTACACAGCGATATGTTTCAACTTGAAAAAAATCTATGAATTTCACAATCTAGGCAACGAATGAATCTACGAACTACGCACGCCTTGCTTTAATAAATTAACATAACAACAATAAATTTCAAAGAATACCATGTACACAGCATCCTGTGTAAACTTAAAAAAAATCTACGAATTGCACAATCTAGGCAACAAACGAATCTATGAACTAGCACACCTCACTTTAATAAAATTAACTTAACAACATCAAATTTCAAAGAATTCCATGTACACAGCATTATGTTTCAACTTTAAAAAGCATCTATGAATTGCACAATCTAGGCATTATGCATTGATCAACAAAATAAACTAAAATAACTAAAATAAATTTCAAACAATTCAAAAAAATAACAATAACGACAGAAATTCATACTAAAAAAACGATAAACATAACATTCTACAAAATAAGAACAAGAATAAAATAAAATGCGCTTACTATGAATGAATGCTTTTTTGAACAGCAGAAATACCAATTTCATACCACCTTTAACAAGCCGCCACGTAATCACTATCCTATTTCAATGACAGCCAGAGACACTATCCAGAAAATTCATACTATGGTTCACAAATAAATGTTCAAAACCTTCTTTTCCTAAATCCTTGTAAGATTTCCATCCATCCGAAAAAATAGTTGTACCAGGCTCAATCCACTCTTTAATACACTGCATCAGCATTTCCCTACTTCTATCAGGCATAGCCACTAAAAATAATCTCCCACACCCTCTTTCCACACCTCCAAATGCCCACTGCCCCTCAACAGGATGGCTACGATGATATTTCCTTTTGCTGAACTTCTATTCATCAACTTCCACCACTTTATCTCCTCCCTATTTCTCAGACACAAAGCAGACTCGTTTACAACTCCAACATTGTACCTTTTAATACTAAATTTCCTTTTCACACAATCTAAAATATGCGACTAAAACCTTAAAACCAAGTCTCTCATTGCAGCATATGCAATTTCAAAACACGCACGACACAAACCAATGAGCAATTAAACTACTCCAGCAAAAGATTTTTCAACGTCAAAAGATTTTTCAACAGGGTTGCCATACAACACACAATCATGCCAAAATCCAGCCCAGAACAAAATTTGGTGATATCAGAGCGCATATAAGAGTAGAGCCAGAAACAGTTTTAGGATTTGTTTCAGGCATATGAAAATTAATAGAAGGAAATCATAATTTTTGCTGCATAACAAATTAAATCTTGGTGTAATATTTGACACTGCTGGATATAAGGCAACTTCAGTGTTTTTCAGCATTGAATGGCATTTGGATTTAATAAGCATTAAAGCTGATAAATACTTGTTCCCCATATAGTATGTGACAGAAGAATGTTTAATGCCATTCAATAAATCATGGAAAATTCAGTTCGAGCTGTGATCCAGAATTCAGTCAAGGCAAGAAACTCAAGTTTTGAGTTTATTGATACTCAACAAATTCTTTTTGGGTTGTATATGACATTAATCTTATTAGTGCCAGTTAATGTGATTTCTTTAAAATTTCCATTTAATGTAATTTTTTTAAAATTCATGTATCTGAATTCAATTTTTGTAAACCTAAATGGGGTCACGACACTCAATTTAAGAAATTTTTGCCTAGATGATTAACCATAATTTTAAAACGAAAAGGCATGTAAAAAATGAAACACAAATGCTTCATTTTTTACAAAGCAAAATTACAGCAACGGTAAGACTCACCAAAAAATTAAATTTTATAATTTTTACAAAAATTATATAAATTTGAAACATGAATACGTGCATCATTTGAAATACTTTCAAAACTAGAAGCATATATTATCTATGACCAACGGTTTCAAAACTAAAGTGATAGAAAAGGAATTTTCTATCAGTATGATGAATATATAATCAAGGTTGATTGCAACCACATTTAAAAAATCTGAAAACTAGTAAACATCCAAGTCTCAAATAATACAGGATAATTGTAGCACATACATACATGCACACATAAATATTTTCAAACAGTTTCATTATATGCAGAAAATATAATTTTTTAAAATTTATTATAAAATTAATTTATAATATACAACATCAGATTTAATTTTGGGGAATTGCTGCATTAATGGTTTTCTTTGCTAGCAAATGAAAGTTCAGTGTGATCAGCAAAATATTTTGGCTTTTCACTTGAGTATCAGATTAGATCTCGAAGTATTAACAGACACTGCAAAGTGTTGGAGATGAGGAACTATAAGAAGGAACAGAATGGTTCATTGAATGAAAAATATTTTGCTATATAAAAGCTGTCCAGTCATTCACCAAATTATCCCTAAAATCTTTACTAATAAAGTCTTCAGAGGGATTTTTCTAACTTAAAACCTTCACTTGTGTTTTTGTGTGATGAAATAAAAAATATTTCAGTCTGCACAATATCTAGGCTGTCACTGTTAGAGGCTGCTTTATATTCTGTAATCCATACAATTCAATGAATTTTCAACAAACGGCATATGGACAGAGATTTAATCAATTTTGACAATATAGGGAATTTCTGCTTTCTGTGTTTAGCCTGAAACCTTCAGCTCTCGTCTGTCTCCTCTGAATAGAAAAGTTTTAAGATTATGTTATCTCTGAATGAAGTATTTTTTCTAAAAGAAAGATAATGAATCTATGTTCCATAAATCCAGAAATTTTGGATTTAACAAGGCTAAAAATCCAGAAGTCCAACTATATCCAGATGGCAATCACCTCAGATATAAAATACATATATGTAATTATATACTTACTCTTATCCCTCAAAATTTTATCCAGATCAGATATCTGATTGGTGACATACTGTATTTGTTCTTTTACAGCTTCTGTGTATGCCTGAAAGGTATGGCAGTTTTTACCAACGTCTGAATTTCTTAACTGAACATCATTTACAAAATCTCTCAGAACTGCAATTTTGGTTCCATATTCACAAAATTCCTTCAAAATATTGCCCAAGGATTTCTAAAAATAATTAAAAAATGTAATTAAGCAAAAAGCAAGTTATTATTCTGTATTGAAATAAATAATAGATGATGCAAATTTTTACAAAAATTATCAGTTAGGCTTGCAACTTGATTCTAATAACTGAGAGATAAGTGACAGATGCATATCAGTTAGATGTAATACAAACCACAAATTTGATGTGTTTTGCTGCACATTAATTACAGATACTAAAAAAAAAATATTTATTAAAAAGCACTGCTAGCCATTCAAATGCAACATCACAAAAGAAGTATACAACAGACTTGAAATTTGAACCATGCGTAGACCTATGTTGTGACTAATCTCACTAGTCTGATATCAGAACAAGCCTAAGGAATTTATCGTGGCATGGATGCAAGATTGTGCCTGTCACTGGCAAAAGCCCCGAGCACCATACAGGTGATAGTACAACTTTGCTCTGTTCCATCCCCAGTTTTAAAGGAGAGCACCCTGGGGAGGAGACAGGTGTGAGGCTTCCCATCCCTCTTCCCCTACCATCAATCTCTCCGAGGACTTCTGGCTCACCAAATATTTTGAGTGCCTCATGCTGCACAGACACTATACATTTACAATCATCCATACCTTCTTCGGGATTCAAACAACCCAAGCACTTTGGTATGGCAATCAGAGTCACTAACAATTATCCTGATTAGGCAGCATAAGTCAATCATTATAAAATATGCAAACAATTAGCTTTGCAACATATATGAAAATCATGCACATCATGTAAAAAAAGGTAGACTGAAATTAAAATTTTTCTCCTTACTTTCAAAGGACTAGTGATGGAGAATCATTTTTCGTTAGGCACTCATTGAGGCTACCTTTGAGAGCCAGAGTATTGGAGTTGCCAATTTTTCATTTAGAAACATCATTCTTTTGTTTTGTTTATTTTTGTTGTTGGAGGACATTTTATGCTTTTTTGTAAGAAGCTTTTTTGTAAGAAGTAATGAAACCTATACCAGTATGTCTCAGAATTTGATTACAGGAAAATTATAACTCACCTAGACTACAGATTATCATGCCACACAAATGCTTCTTGCATAGATCGAGATCTTTATTAGAAGAATTGTTGGTAGATGAGTTAAGGTGGACCACACAGAATTACCTTTGGGATCTCAATAGCATCCATTCATCAATACTCAAGATAACAGACCATTTGGCCCATAGTGCCATTAGGTATTGTAAAATCAAAAAAATTCTTATTTGAGAAATTGGGTGTCTTCCACAATATTAAGCATTCACACAGACAGTCCAACAACATCTGTACTGCCATAAGTTGTCAGCAAAGCAACCATTATTCTAGCTTCCTTTGACACCACAGCACAGGATTCGGTACTTACAATGGTACATTCAACAATGCATACGAATGTATGCATCGTTGGCAAGAAATCTTTTCTGATGAATCCCACTTTTGCTCACAGCATAACAATGGTTGTAACTGAATCTTGCAGCAATGCAATGATAGACATAATGACCCTTGTGAAAGACATAATGAAACTTGTAATGTAATATTATATCAGTCTGTCACTTGGAGCTACAATCTGAGTACAGCTGGATTTTACACCTGCACACCTACACCACCTAATATGCTTCAATGGCCAGTATTACATCTCTGAATTTCTGGAAGTTTTTTCTCCCTTATTTTCACAGCTTGTCACCATCCAAGTTTCACCATAAGAACGTGCGACCACATGTAACACAACAGTTCTTCTTTACTCATCAAGTCAACTTACACCTCACCAGATCATTTTCCTATCATCAAACATTAACAGGATGGACTACAAAAGCACACATCCAAAGTTTTTTTTTTTTTTTTTTTTTTTTTCCCCAGTGCTGAAACATGTCACAGCAATTATCACAAACCATGGTGCAACACAAAATATAATACTGATTTCTTCATGTTATACAAGTCAGAATAGGCCATTGCTGTTATTTTGTTATTTTAATCAATTCAGCCCTGCACCTTTTATTGTTTGTTCAGTTAATATGGCTCTCATATCTCTTATTCCTCCTGGTGCTGAACTTTGGAAGACCATCAGATTAAATCATGCAGTTATTTAATTTAAAAAATTTAATTTGAAAGATTTCATTTTAAAAATCTTATGGAACATCCAATAGAACAATTTCTCGGGATTAGATAATTGCCAGGCAATGACAAATATGGATGATAAATGAAAATTCTCATGCTTGTGGAGCAGGAACCTTTGCAAAGACGTAAAATGATAAACAAATGATTGCATAGTGTAATATAAGGCAAATAACAATTATAAAAAGCGGAAAGACTGAAATTGCAGATGTTTTTAACATCAAAACATAATATAAGTAACAGAGATTAGTAAAAAGAATTTTTTAAATATTAAATAATAATAAATGATCAAAATAATTCCATTTGATAGTGCCCATGAATGCAAGCATTAGTACCAAAATTCCCTGTATGCAATAATTAAAATTTATGGATTATTAATTAAATATTTTAAAGAAGACAAATCAAGTAATCTTTTTTCAAAATACTGTTTACAGAAATTGCAAAATACCGAAGTTCATATAAAGTAGCACATTATGAATGGCTTTTCTAAAGAACTAGAACCATCGTGTAAAATTTTTGAGCAGAAAGATCTATATCATTTGATGCATTTCGCTTTGTTTGTGGTATAATAAACAAATTTCAAGGCAATATATAAATAACAGCAGCATTACATGGAGTAATGCACTGAAAATTCTTCTTGTAAAGCTGAAGAAAATAATATTCAGACACTAATTCTATGCTTTTACAAATTTAGTTTGCTCTCATTTAGAAATAAGATTTCTTAAATAACGTACAGGAATGGGCAGCATTAAGTATACGTATGGCACAGTTCTAGTAAAAAAATTATGCATGAAACAGAGTGACATATCAACAGATAAAACAGCTGTACTACAATAATATGATGACTTAAAATTCACTGTGTGTGAAAAATTAAGTGTAAACTGAAATGAGAGCTTTTAAGCTTTCAGCTATGATTATTTTTTAAATTTGAACCAACTGATGATCTTGAGCTATGCTTTTAATGACTACTGACAAACTCTGACAAAACAAAGTGATGATGGAATTCAACTGACTTTCGGTACCAAAGCAAAAATTTACAACTCATTAAAGAATCCCATTGTGCACACAGGGGTATGAGTAACGAATTGCATAAAGGATAAACAAAAACTGCTCCTCAACACCAGAAAACACTGATGCTGTCAGTCACAAAGGATGAAAATAAGGCATTTTCGAACATTTCAATGACAGAAGTGCATTCAGTTTTACATGGCCATTTAAGAGTAAAACAAGTACACAAGCAATGAGTTCCACATAACTTAATTCAAACTCAAATGGATGCTCATGACATGTGCTGTCAGGAATACATATATATACATATACAAATCAACTCAGGTGTAAAACACAAATATCCGAGACAAAACTCTCCCCCCCCCAAAAAAAAAGTTCAACTATTTCTACAAACACAGTCATATAAATTAAATATCAAAGATGCTTCAAAATGAATAGCATTCTAATACATCAATCTGTGCATGAAGTGTTTCGAAAAAACTGATTCCTAAAATGCAATTTTAAATGCTGTTTTGAATTTGTAGTCTCCTATTTTGGTGTTGAGTATTCTACCAAAAAAAAAAAAAAAAAAAAAAAAAAAAAAAAAAAAAAAAAAAAAAAAAAAAAAATCGCATTACTTGCGTATTTTCCCCCAGAGTTTTAGCACTTTTAGCACTAGATTCTAAAACTTACCAAATATTCATGTAATTTTCCCCTTTCCTTAATGCACTCAGAGAATGGGTTACCCTTAAATTTTAAAATGGATTTATAGTGATAATTCTGACCTAACTAGAGAGATAAATTCCCGCAAACAAACTGCGAAGGTCACAGCAGACCTTTTTTTTTTCGTAACTCTTGAATTTTATGCCAGCCTAGAACCGATCCTCACAGCTATGCAAATATGAACCAGCATTCAGTCTATAAATTTAGCTGACTCAACAGCGCACTCACCTTCTCTATTAATTGATAATCTGAGGCCAAAGAAGTAGCACAGACATAATAAGAACAGGCAAGATTCAAGTTACAGGAAAATATTGTTATGAAATGTCTGGATGTGGTATGATAGCTTCTCCGCTAGGCGGGTTTGGGGTTGCTAAAAAATAACAAGGGAAAGCAAGGTTGCCAAATTTGGCACGAAATCGCCCATTTGGCGACAAAATTGGTGATATACCATAGACGGATTGAGAATCTTCTGAAATGAATTCTTACTAGTTTGGCCCAGAATGTTCTCGAATGCAAGCCAAAAGCTATATAATTCCCTGCTGGTATGCAGCGAGTCAGTCAGTCAGTGCCTAGTCCATTGAGTTGATCGTCAGTCTAATCTCGAGTTGGTCATCGGCTGTATCGCAAGTTGGTACATCAAGAGTGTGCATTGTTGAGGCTAACGAGTGTATCGTCTAGTGCTTTGTGAGCTGCAGCGTGGAGTCTCGAGAGTACATAGAGTTCTGAAAACGACCGAACTGAATCGGGAGCTGTACTCTAGTGCTTTGTCATGAAGCTGTCTTCACCGTTATAGCTTGAAAGATAACTGATATCAGTTATAGTCTGAAAGCTCTGTTGCTGATTGTTTCAGTGTGTTTGCCATTTTGACAACTGTAAACATGTTTTTGGAGCTGTTCTGGGTAATACTGGCTAATAAATTGTGTTTCGATACTTTATCAAGTGCTGTTTTCGTTATTCACTCCACAAACCTATACATAAAAAAACACAACATTATAAATGAAAATAATTTGTCAGATATTGCAATATTCATATTAATACTATGAATTCTTATTGGAAAGAAGGTTTCTTTTAAAGAAATAATATTGTGACAGTTACGTGTAATTTATCCATGACTAATTTTTACCTGTTATGTTCTTATACTATAACTACGTCTTTTAAAAATTAAATTATTCGCATCATTTTTTGTATCTCGATTTTCAGATAACGTAATTATTAAAACAAAAGGGAAAATTATGTGAGGAAATATGGTAGTTACAAAGGTAATTTGAAATTATTACTGCAAGAATCTTGAAATAACCAGTGTTTATTATTATAAATACATATATAATAAACATCTGCTAAAATGTGAACATATTTGTTAAATGAAACATAACTGTTCAACTTACAGAACTATGCCATATATGAAACTATACATCCAAGTTAACAAAATGCCTAAATTATTAAAAGGAGACCTTATGGTAACTAATGTGAAAAGGAAATTTTGCCTTATTTACTCGCTTTTAAAACATCCATTTATCAGTAGCATGCAGTGAAATTTAAAAGATTTTACTTATCCAACAATTAACATCTTACACCAGATATTTGTTCACATAATAAACATGCTGATATTAAAATCTACAATAAAAAAAGCTGCAAGTTTACATTACATTTAATAAAGGAATATAAAGATTCAAATATTAAAATAACTATAAAATAAAGCTTTATAAAAAATAAATGTAAGATATTAATACACATATAAGATTATATTATAAATATAAGACTATAGATTAAAATAAATATAAGATAAAGCCTTACAGAAGTTAATTCGCACAAATGAATCTGTGAATTCGGTAAAAATTCAGAACCATTCCATTGAAGTATAAACACATCTTTCACTCCACTCAGCATCCTGAAAAATATAAAGTTAAATTATATTAACAGCTAAAAATACAACGTTAAATTTTATCAATTTACCCAGTTTTAAATTTCAAACAGTGAATTTTAAAAGCAAAGAAAAAGTACTTTTCATGAATTAAATCTTTTACATTCCTACACAGCAATTATTGCCTTCAGTACAATATGTCAGATTAATTTGTTATTATTGCATACATGGCAAATATTGAAACTGAATATAAAACATGATTATAAAATTGAAATGCATGCATATATATGTGATGTAAATATGAAACAAAATTATTAAACTTAATTGGAACTCACTGGCAATAGATCTTTAAACTCATAATTTTAATTAAATAAATCCCCACTTCAAGGATATGCTTTGCATCATTTTGCATCACTCTGCAGAATGTTATGTCACTCTGCAATTTCTCTGCACTGCGAAATCTTGAGCCCAATCAGCTGCTCAGCGTTAACACAAATACTTTCCAAGTTATAAACACAACTTCAGTTATTATATGTCAATTTTACATCTGTTTGCTCTGCCTATAGCATGTCTCTATGCAAAGTTTTTCCCTTCCTATTATCTAAAACGTAAACTGCCCATATAGAAATTCTGGGGTCCATTAAGCATCCCTAGTATAGTAGTAATTTAAGCAAAAATGCATTTCTCAAGAATTTTTCCTGTTCAAAATAAGAATTATGTTTTAAACGATCAAGACAGTTGCGATTTTCCCTTCAGTCATCCACACAACAGTTTTTTTTACTATTATATCAATTACCAGTTATGTACAGAATTTTTTAAGTTATTGTGAGAGAGACACAGAAATGCTAAGCAGTAATAGGTCTTACGGAGAAATGATAGTGAAAACATTGATGAGTGATTTATGTGAGAAAAGTTGTAATTTATATTTGGATCTCTTTTTCAGATACAGTTGGCAAGAGAATTCATTGAACATTTCAACCACAAAAGATGTCACCATGAGCATAAACACAAATGCATTCTTCCAATCAATCTTTACTATTAAATAATGACGAATCTGTATGTGTATAAAAATTGTGACATCTAGAGCTACCAAAATTTGATTACACTTAGCCATCCATCCGAACATGTGCATCTGAAGGCAGAATTTTGAATTTCTAATTTGTCTTTATTTATTATATATTTTTTACAAGTTTGTAATACCTTTTCATTTCCCTAATGCTTGCAGGATATTTGTATTCTCTAAAATCGAATATTTGCAGAACAGTATTAAAAACAAGGGAAAATGCACACAGACTTTCTAGAAAAAAAAATAAATAAATAAATAAATAAAAAGGGGTGAATTAGATGCATTCAATAAGAAAATATGAACATCATCACGTTCAAAAAAAAAAGAAGAAGAAAAGGTCATTTTTATGCTAACAATCCTTAATGGCCAGAAATGACTAAATCTGGCAGAAAATAGAGTTACTGGCGAAGACATTTTAAAACCTAAATATATTATAGATTACAACAAAAACATAGGCGGTGTAGGCATAATTATGACACACTATTCATGTTTTAGAAAGTCAGTAAAATGGCACACAAAAATTTTTGGGGGGGGGGGGCTGATGGATATAAAAGTGTTGAACTCCAACATTAATTTTAACAAAAAAAAAAAAAAAAAAAAAAAAAAAAAAATTAGTCATTAAAATACCAATACCCTTTCTCCAATTTGAAATTAAATTAATCGAACAAATCCTCAAAAACTACAAATATTATCAAGAAGAAAAGCAGTTTACTGTTTTACTGTCAGATCTGTACCAGCGCCTATCCAATTATCTAATAGGACTTTTCCTGCCCTCTGTATTTACAAAAAGGGTGGGGGGAAGGTGCATAGTTTGTTCCCACATCATGCTAAAAAAAAAAGGGGGGGCAACAAACATTTTATACTTGTGGAGCATGGAATGTAGAACTTTGCATTTCTCCATGTTTCAAGATTTACCACACTCGATCTTCATTTTAAATTTTGTTACTTCTTCTTGTGAATAGTTTTTCTTGCATTTTTTTATTCATTTTAAAGTTTATTATTCATTTGGAATTTGAGGAATTTGTTAAATAATTTAAGGCAGCAGTTCTCAACCTTTCGACTAATGCATACCATCTAAACAAAAACTTCAGTACCACCATTACATTTTAGAATGATTATTTTTCCACTTCTCAATACAAATATTAAAACATATATATATTTCCCTTTGCATAACCTATTGGCCATTTGTATTAGACAGGCTGTGCAAAAATAAAAATAATAATAATAATAATAATAATAATAGCTTTATTTGAAATGCATTTAATAAATTTTTTTTTTTTTTTTTTTTTTTTTTTTTTTCGGTTTAGCCAAAAGTTAACAAATGAAAAGTTAACTTTTGAAATTTTCACTTAGAGCTCCCTCATGAGAAATTTCTATCAATTGTTCTTTTTCTTTACGAGATTAAATTTCAGGTACATTTAAACTAAATAGATTTCTAATCCAATTTTCTTTTTCATAATCCTCAGGGAAATACATGTTGAAATTATTTATGAATAAAAAACAATGACTTATAATGTTGGATGCTAATTCTTCTTTTATTTTCAAATTATTTTTGGTTAGAAAACTTTCTAAAAGTGGTAAAAAGCTTAAAATATTTTCATCCAATACTTTGATTATTAGCTCATTTTTTTTTATCGTTGCATTAATTTTATCTCTAATGCTAAACAAATTAACACTTTGTCCATGAAATCCTAAATTTAATTCATTTAACGTTCCAGAAATATCAGGTAAATATGCTAAACCGGCCAACCATAATTCAGTAAATAAACATTTTTGCAATTCAGATTTTGAATCACAGAGGAAAATTTTAATTTCTGATCAAAGTTCAAAATGATGATTTAAAACTTTGCCTCTGGATAACCACCTTACTTTGAAATATAACAAAAGCATTTCATGTTCACTGCCCATCTCTTGGCATAAAATCATAAATATTTTTTAATTTAAATCTCGGTTTTTAATAAAATTAACAAGTTTCACAACTGAATTCAAAATGATTTTCATGTTTTTGGAGATTATTTTAGGTACTAAAGCTTCACGATGAATGAAGCAATGAGTAAATTTAGTTTCTGGTGTGACTTTCTTTATTTGAGAATTAACAACAGAATGTTTTCCTGTTTACGCAGGAGCTTCATCACTGCATATAGCAATGCACTTATTCCAAGGAATATCATTCTTAGACATAAAACTGTCAATTACTTTAAATGGAAGTTTCATTTGCAGTTGCTCTATCATGAAGAGATTCACAAAATAAATACTCTTCAGCAATTTGTTTACCTTCTTCGAAACGTATATATACTACTAATTTAACAAAGTTCATTACACCAGTACTTTCACCCATTTGCAATGCACAATATTCATTGTGTTTTATTTTTTGAATAAGTGTCTCTTTTATAGAATTTGCCATTTCATGAATTCATCGACTTACTGTATCATTTGGAAATGGAATATTATTAAGTTCATTAGTCACCTTTTTCTTTCCATAATATTTAAAACGGTATCTTTAGCTGCTGATAAAGGTTTTCTCAAATACTGTGAGCCTACCTTGTCTTGGCAATTCTTAGGGCTTACTAGGTAACTAGCTTCCAAAGCTTTTTCACTTGAAGTAACAAAATCTTTCATTACTTGCTTACAATTTTTAAACTCGGATAATTTCCTCTTGAAATATTCATATTTATCTTTTAAATTGGCATGCACATTCAAGATGTCTTTTAAGAAACGATAGTTTTATATTTTTATTGGATAACAATTCACCACAAACAACACACTGAGGTTGAGGGCCCATTTCATCTCCAATCCAAGTAAACGCAAATGATAAATAACTTTTACTATAATAAACAATTGTTCTTTTCAATATTTTTAGTGATAGTACACTGACTACCCAATAAGTATTTGGACACCTGTGATATAAAAGAAAAATTTTATTCGAAATCAATAGTTGGTAGAGCCTCCACGAGAGGTAATTACAGCGTGTACCCTCCGGGGCATACTTTCCACAAGTCTTTGTATGACAGCTAGTGGTATTTTCTTCCACTCAGCTTGGAGAAGACATAGAAGTTCCTTCACCGATTTTGCACGGGTAGTGCACCCCTGAATTCGTCGATGCAACTCGTCCCAGAGTTTCACGATAGGGTTCAGGTCTGGACTCTAGGCAGGCCAGTCCATTCAATGAACTCCATTGGCACCATACCAAGCCTTGGTTAACGTCGAAACATGACAACTGGCATTGTCGTCCTGAAAGTAACAGGGGTCCAACCCGTAAAATTGGCACAACATAGGAAGCACATTGTCATCCAACATAGTGCAGTAGGCATCGGAGTTGAGCTTACCATGAATGGGGACCAAGGGTCCCAGCCCATACCAGGAGAAAAACCCCCAGACCATAATTCCACCTCCGCCGAACTTGACTGTTGGTACAATGCATTCTGGCAGATGTTCTGCAGGTAGAAGCCAGATCCAGACCCTGCCATCCGAACGGTAAAGGGTGAACCTTGATTCGTCACTTCAAAGAACCTGTTTCCACTGATCTATGGTCCAATTTCGATGTGTTTTGCACCACATTAACCGAGCAGCGTGGTTGGACTTTGTAATCAAAGGCTTATGGGCAGCAACACGACCATGAAAAACCAAGCAGATGTGCTTCCTTACGAATGGTATTCATTGAAACAATACTCCCAGGTGCCTGTTGAAACTCCTCGCAGATGAGGGCCATCAGTTGGGTGCTGTTCTTCCGAATTTCTCTGGACAGCACTCGTCAGTCTCTATCTCCCAGTTTCGTTGGTCTGCCAACTCAGGGCACATTCTGACAATCACCGTTCACCTTCCACTTCTTAATCACAGGCCACTGTCGATTTTGGGTACTTCAGATCGCTAGATATGTCCCTTAAGGATCGGCCACATTTGTGATACCTGATAAATATACCTTTCCCGAAATCAGAGAGCTCTGAACTGCAAGGCATCTTGC